TATAAGCCAGACTGTGTTTTAGACTATAATATCAACATGCGGTTGATTGATAAATCAGACATGATGATTGGCACTGCAGAGTGTGTGCGGAAGACATGTAGGTGGACGAAAAAAGTGCTCTTCCATCTTGTGGACATGAGCATGCTGAACTGTTTCAACATGTACCTTGTGAGAACTGGACGTAAGCCCACTTTCCGTGACTTTGTATTTGATGCTGCAATACAGTTATTAGGAAAGTTTGCAAAAGATGTCCCAGGTATTCAGCGGCCCATCATAAACGCACTGTTGCAGCATGCTGGTACTCCACGCCTCGCTCACACTGAAGGCTTCCTAGCACACAAACTTAAGTATTTGCCACCTGGTGTGAAGCGTGCAATAGCCCAACGTGATTGCTTGGTGTGTAAAACAACGACACGTAGAGACAAGAAACGGAAGCTTGTGCAAACATGGTGTGAAACGTGTGGTATCCCATTATGTGCTGTCGACTGCTTCAATGACTACCACAGTCTAGAAATCTTCTAAGTGTGCTTCAAAGTGTGTATAGCGTGTGCGAGTGTGTAAATATGTAAACATATAAGCAGATAGCGTGTGCGTGTGTGTAAATATATACAAATATAAGCAGAACATACAATATAATAGACTGTAATGACATATTATATTGCCGTAATTGAAAACATTTGTGTGCGCCTGTGTATACTCAAATATGCAACAATTATTGATTCAAAATATGTTCAAACAGTATTTGAAACACAATTAGTGAAAAAAAATTAGATAAAATGCGCTTAGACATTGTAAATAAATAGCGCGAAAATATATTTGTGGCAACTCTGGCTGTTTGAGGACCACGCGCAACACCTCCCGGGCGTGTACTGCATGAGCGAACATGCAGATTGTGACGTCATCACCGAGCTTCTCGGCTCTATTGCAACAAAAGTAAGTATAATAGAATTTTTTTTTTATTTTTCCCGTGATCAGTGAACAGAACTTAACAGATTAGCAAAAAATTCAAAATGACATGGGCCTGTGTGGATAGCAGGATATTAGACCCCGAGCACGTTAAGGGTTAACACAAGGGGCACACGCACTAGGGGATACAGGTGGAAACTGAGTGCCCAAATGAGCCACAGAGATATTAGAAAGAACTTTTTTAGTGTCAGAAGAGTGGTTGACAAATGGAATGCATTAGGAAGCGATGTGGTGGAGGCTGACTCCATACACAGTTTCAAGTGTAGATATGATAGAGCCCAATAGGCTCAGGACCCTGTACACCTGTTGATTGACGGTTGAGAGGCGGGACCAAAGAGCCAGAGCTCAACCCCCACAAGCACAACTAGGTGAGTACAACTAGGTGAGTACATACACTTGAAAAGAAAATTACAAGCCGCCAACCAGTGGGCACAGCACACGCCGGCCAGGTAAAGAAGGCACAAAACTGCATCAAAAGGCCCACCTCGTCAACAAAACCTCCCAAAAGTCCCAGCACGACCACAACACGTCCCAAGACCCAAAAAAATCAGTCTGCAAGCCAAGAAGACCCCGGAACTCCAGAAGGCAGAAACCGGGTCACACACGAGGAAACAAAGCCCCCTTAACCCACAAAGGGGGCCCCAAGAGGAAGAAACCTCCGGAATGAAACCAAAGAACCCAAAGGAACCTGGAATCGAACCAGGGGGAGCCCAAACCACCACATTTTGCCGGCAGAGAAACACCACAGAAAGGCAAAGCACAGCCCCCAGACAGAACCCCTGGGAAACGGTCATAACAGACCGAAAACCGAGGGACAAAGTGTGGGAGCAAGCATAACAGCCAGGGACACTAAGCCCAAACCCAAAGGCCCAGACCCAAAACAGGCAAAATGGGAAACCCGGTGTAAAATCAACACTCAAATGTTCCCAGAGGAACAGGAAACGGGCAGAAAACACCAGAAAAGCAAGGAAATGACAACAGGAGAATAAAACCCCTGAAAAAAGGTGAAAACTCACCCAAGAAGCTCGCTCGCACACCCAGGCGCATGTAAATAAACCGCAACGCCGCCCTGGTGGCCACGCCGGGAAACCGGCAGACGAAAATGGCCGCCAGAACAGAAGGCTGTGACCGACGCTGAAGATACGAAAACACGCCAGCAAAAGTGGGAAGCAAGCAGACTGGATGGGCGAAAAAACGCTGCCCAAAAGTAGAAAACCCAGGCAGGGGCAAACCGCCCCAGAACTGCTAGCAGGCATCCCCCACAGCCCCAGGAACCAGCAACAGAGGCCCCGGGGCAGAGGCGTCCTCCAAGCCCTCCGCCCTTAAAGAAAAGCAAGAGTTCATGGGAAAGGCAGCAAGAAAGGGCCACTGGTAAGTCCCAGAAGCCTTGGCAGGAGGAACAGGCTCGAAAACCTCCGTCCCCCAACCCGAATAGGGCAGCCCTCGAAAACTGCTCGAGTCTCGGCCCCAACGAAACCCCGCTGTGACCCCGAAACCTGCAGATGGTCCGGAGCCGGGAACAGAGAGGGAAAGGGGCGAACTGCACCTAACCAAAACGGGGCAGCCTCGGGGCATCCGAATGGGAAACCAACCTAGAATGTTGCAGCAACCAAACCTAGCTTGCAACACGGATGCCGCCTGTACTCTGAAAAGTAATAACATCAGGAAAGTACTGGAGAACAAGCAGAGAAAATCTCTCGCACGACTCCAGGTCAAGGTGTCCGTGACCCAACAGGCAACATGACAGAGGTAAAAGTGGCGACTGTCACCCGGAGACAAGGGCACAGCAACCAACGATCCCATACAAGACGGGTTGGAACCCGGAAGACACATTCAATGGTCCACCGAGCCCAGACAGGGGTTTCCAGGGCCCGTAGGCTGACTGCTACGGGAAGCCTGAGCAAAGTGTTGCTAAACCGGTTAAGAAACCCAAAAATAACAAGAGGGTAGAGGATAGCACTGAAAACCCCCTGCGACGTGTACAATCATGGGGGCCTAGCAGAGGGCTGCCAAACACTACCAGTGGAACTATAGCCACACTGGGCAGACCCCCAGCAGGCAATTGAAAATAAAAACAAAAGAAAACCCCTGCAAAAGTACACCGTCTCTTAGAGGCAACAGGAACCGGTCGCCGCTTGGGTGGCAGGCCGCGCAACACCTTGACGCCCTAACCAGCACAATACCAGTCCCTACCCAAGGTCAAACAAGGGCCCCAAGCCCCACCTTGTCCCAAGGGCGAGGGAAATGCAGAGCAGCAAGAACCTCTACAGGAATGGTTCCCGAACGCCCCAGGGAAGATAACCCTGTTACGCAAGGGCAGTACTCACAGGGCGCTTAGGGAAGTCAGCCACTAAGCGCATGCAGCCCCGGCACTGATGAGGTACTCCTGGCCACCGCACAACACAACACACGGCAGTGAACGCCACACAAGGCAAACACTGCCTAGGAAACTGAGGGCAGAGAAGCGTCTATCCGGGTTCACATTAGCTCACGAACTGAAGCTTGGCAGCCGGCCCAATAGGTCCGGGGCTCCCCCCCTCCCCCTCTCAGGGCGGGGAGGGCTACGCGGACGATCAGTGCGGCAGTAAAGTGTGATGTTTGCTTGTTTCCTTGGGAGTGTAGGGAGTTTCTATCTCTCTGTTCGGTTTTTTGTTTTAGTTTTTTACCATGTGGGGTTTGTTTTGTCATGCCTACCTTTCTGGGTGCCTGACCCCGGTCGATGGCAGATAAGGAAAACCCCAACCACAAGAGGGTTTTCCCAGTGCCATTGCTCCCTGAAACCTCTCTGAAGGGGCCAGGTTCTGGCGCTGGTCCCTGGTAGGTTTGAACTCCTTAGCTAATGTCCCGGTCTAATATAACATACATTAGCCCAATAAGCTCCAGGGAGCCGTAGGGGCTCCCCACAGAAAACCCTGGTTTGTGTCTCAGAAAGACTGCAGGAACCATTAGTAGATCAGGATTTCCCGGGTTGCAATTCTTTTACCATGTCTTAGCTCAATCGATTAAGGCAGTGTCTGGGATCCTCTCGGAAGTAGGTTCGAACCCTCGTCACGGCCCTTGTGGATTTGTTCATTCGAGACAAGAGTACTTAGTACACAGCGGGGGCAATAACCAAGGTAGATCCCATGCAGGCACACAAAAAAGAAAATGAAACCCTGCAAAAGGACAGCGTACCTAGGCGGAACAGAGCCGGCCGCTATGATTGGCGAAAACAAGCTGCGCAGTACCCTGTGCCCCTTACCAGTGAAAACTGCCCCCTACCCCAAGGCAAACAAGAAGACAGAACACCCGAGCACACAAAGGGCGGCCAAAAACCAAGCAGTAAGCGGCCTAGCAGAGGCAGAACTCAAGGAACTTGTGGAAGGTGATCCCAAGCCCCAAGGGCAGTACTTACTGGGCACCTAGGGAAGGGATCCCTAGGTGCATGCAGCTCGAATACTGAAGAATAACTTCTGGCTCGCGCACCACTTCGAAGAGTCACCACAAACAAGGCACAGTGCTGAAACAACCACTGGAGCCAGAGCACACGACTTCTGCCTATAGCATCAGCCTCAGAAATGGTCTGGATGGCCAGCGCGAGGGTCTGGGGCTCCCCCTTCTCCCTCTCGGGGAGGGGGAAGCAGCACAGACGGCGGCACGGCGACTTGTGACGTAATACTCGTTTGCTCGTTTCTGTTTGGGGAGTTCTATCCATTTGTTTGGCTTTTTGTAGCAATTTTCACCAGAATAGGGGTTTGTTGTTGGATGCCTACCTTTCTGGGTGCCTAACCTAGTCTATGACAGACATAAAATGCTTCCAACCACACGAGGGTTTCTATAGGCCATTGCTCCTCGTGCCTCTGTGAGGGAGCCAGGTTCTGGCTCATGGTTCCTGGTAGGCCCACAGAACTCCATACACATGACTGATGCCAAAGTCTGACATTAGCATATCAGCCTGGATAGCTCTGGGAAGCCGACGGGGCTGCCCCCAGAAAGAGAGGTTAATGAATAGTATATATACCAACTCAAAAGAACATTTCATTATTCCTACTCACCATTGTTTACTGATTCCTTGCACATGGCAACAATTAGCTTAGAATGTTGAGCAATTTTTACCCCAAGCTTGACAGCTTCATCTACAAGCTGATCAGGTGGGTGCACCGAGCTTACCAGCCCTGAAAGAATTGGAGAAAAATGGAGAATTAGATAACATGACCTTTAACCAACTTTAAAATAACCCCTTACTAATCTTTAATCTCTGTGCTACGCTGCATTTATTGTGACATTCTGATGGTGTGCTGTTAATAAAATGTTCCCAAAATTTCTTTTTTTATTTGTAAATTGTTAAAATCCCTTCCCTGAACATATACATGAAAAAAAAAACAAAAAAAAAACATCTACTTTGGCTGTTGGGGATGTGGAGAAAGTGCGATGTGACGTCATCGGGGCTGTGCACCCATGTGTGGAGCTCCCACAGGCAGTCGCGGGATGTCAAGTCTCGCGAGTGGCCACAGAAATATTTAATATATTTATTTATTTTTTCAATGCATTTTCAATTCTTTATAATTTGTTATAATTTGTTTTTATTATCGTATATGATGCACATTTGTGTCCTTTACATTATGTATACAGTAGAACGTTCATAATGTTTCAACGAACTGCAACACATATGATACTAATGTGTCCACAACAAATTATGCAATATTATCTGTTCAATATTCAATATATTTACAATATGTACACTTTCACACTACTGTATTTATACAGTCACACACTGTATTACAAACTTAAGAAGCCGTCGTAGACCAGCTGTGGGAGCGTCCTCAGCGGTCTCGCAGTCCAAAGTTCCACCCAAAGACCAAAAGGTGTCGTCTATTACTGTTCATGTAATGTATGTTTTTTTTTTAAATTTTTGGTTAGAAAGAGAAGGAGATAACATCTAGGTCAGAAAGAGCTGTAGAAGAAGCGAAAGTAGTAGATAAAATTGTTGGCCTCGTAGAAGGTCTTACTACCATTGAGAATGTGTGCGACTACAGGAGAATAGGCAAATACGTAAAAGGGAAAGATCGACCTTTGAGGATCACCCTAAACTGTGCCAAACAGATGGAAGAAGTACTAAGGAATGCTAGAAAATTACAAAGTGATGAGGATGGGAAAGGGTGGTCGTTAAGACGAGATCTTTCAAAAGAAGATAGAGAGAAGCTGAAACTGAACCTCGCCGAGGCAAAACGTTTAAATGAGAGCAGGAATGAAGAAGAAATCAATTCTTTTTTCAACAAAGTGATAGGGGTAGGCAGGCCAGTAGAGTGGTACATAAAGGCAAACCAACAAAATCAATAGAGAGATGGGGGGAGTGAAGAATAAGGAGAGGGGGAACAAGTTCCTGAAGATTGCCTACCCCAACATAGATGGAGTGAGATCGAAGATACTGGAGTTAAGTGATGTAATACAGCTGCAGACACAAGACATTGTTGCACTCACGGAGACAAAACTTGAAGATGTTATTTTAAATGAGGTCATATTCCCAAGGGGCTACTCAATTTGGAGACGGGATAGAAAAATTAGGAAAGGCGGTGGCGTTGCTGTGCTGGTGAAAGAACACCTAAAGGTGAAGGAAATAATGACTGCCTCCCTTGGGTAAAAGTGACCATGTCTTTTTGGGAATAAAGTATGCAATGCGTTATAATCTGGAAGAAAATAAGGAGGTTGAAGCAGTTGAAAACCTGACTTCAGGAGAGGACATTATGGCCACCTTAGAAATTTTTTTACTGAGTATAATTGGACAGACTTGATGCTAGGCAAAGAAGTGAATAAGATGTATGTCAAGTTTTGTGAAATATATGATAAAGGCACAACAAAATTTATACCAAAACTGAGATGCAGAACTAGGAAACGGGATTGGTTCAATAGAAATTGCGAGAGGGCCAGAGACCAAAAGACACAAAAATGGAGTCAATACAGGAAGCGGCTAAACCCCCAAACATACCAGCGATACAAAGATGCGAAAAACAACTACATGGCAGTGAGGAGAGAGGCAGAAAGAAATTTTGAAAAAGGGATTGCAGACAAATGTAAAACAGAACCAGGTCTATTCTATAAATTCATAAACAATAAATTGCAGGTAAAGGATAATATTCACAGAGGTTGAAAATGGGAAATAGATTTACGGAAAATGAAAATGAAATGTGTGAAACACTAAACGAAAAATTCCAAAGCGTGTTTGTACAAAATTAAATCTTTAGGGAACCAGACACAATAAGACTTCTAGAGAACAACATACAGCACATAGAGGTGTCTAGAGATGAAGTGGAAAAAATGCCCAAGGAGCTAAGAAAGAACAAAGCAGTTAGTCCAGATGCTGTTTCACCATGGGTTCTGAGAGAATGTGCATCTGAGCTCAGCATTCCACTTCAACTGATTTTTCAGGCATCCCTGTGTACAGGAGTTGTAGTTGATGTGTGGAAAAAGGCTAACATAGTTCCAATCTACAAAAGTGGAAGCAGGGAAGACCCCCCTTAATTATAGACCTGTATCATTGACAAGTGTAATAGTCAAAATATTGGAAAAAATAATTAAAACTAAATGGGTAGAACACCTGGAGGAAAACGATATAATATCAAACAGACAGTATGGTTTTCAATCTGGAAGATCCTGTGTAACGAACTTACTCAGTTTTTATGATCGAGCCACAGAGATTTTACAGGAAAGAGATGGTTGGGTTGACTGCATCTATCTGGACCTAAAAAAGGCTTTCGACAGAGTTCCCTATAAGAGGTTGTTCTGGAAACTGGAACATATTAGAGGAGTGACAGGTAAGCTACTAACTTGGATGAAAAATTTCCTAACTGACAGAAAAATGAGGGCCGTAATCAGAGGCAAGTTATCGGATTGGAGAAATGTCACGAGTGGAGTACCACAGGGTTCAGTTCTTGCACCAGTAATATTCATTGTCTACATAAACGATCTACCAGTGGGAATACAGAACTACATGAACATGTTTGCTGATGATGCTAAAATAATAGGGAAGATAAGAAACCTAGATGATTGTCATGCCCTTGAAGAAGACCTGGACAAAATAAGTATATGGAGCACCACTTGGCAAATGGAATTTAATGTGAATAAATACCATGTTACGGAATGTGGAATTGGAGAACATAGACCCCACACAACCTATAAATTATGTGAGAAATCTTTAAAGAATTCTGACAAAGAAAGGGATCTAGGGGTGGTTGTAGATAGAAAACTGTCACCTGAGGACCACATTAAGAACATTGTGCGAGGAGCCTATGCTACACTTTCTAGAATATGCTAGAAAGTGTAGCATAGCTTTCTTTCTAGCTAGAATATGCAGTGGTTGTGTGGTGCCCATATCTTAAGAAGCGCATCAACAAACTGGAAAAGGTGCAAAGACATGCTACTAAGTGGCTCCCAGAACTGAAGGGCAAGAGCTACGAGGAGAGGTTAGAGGCATTAAATATGCAAAAACTAGAAGATAGAAGAAAAAGAGGCGATATGATCACTACGTACAAAATAGTAACAGGAATCGATAAAATTGATAGGGAAGAATTCCTGAGACTGGGAACTTCAAGAACAAGAGGTCATAGATTTAAACTAACGAAACAAAGCTGCCGGAAAAATATACAAAAATTCACTCGTGTAAACAGAGTGGTTGACGGTTGGAACAAGTTAAGTGAGAGGGTAGTGGAGGCCAAAACCGTCAGTAATTTCAAAGCATTATATAACAAAAAGTGCTGGGGAGACGGGATACCACGAGCGTAGCTCTCATCCTGTAACTACACGTAGGTAATTACTTAGTACTTCAGAAGCGAGTGATAATCAAAGAAGCAGTCCATGGTACACAGCAACTCTTCGCACTCGATGAACCAGATATAAACAGATTTTCGCTTCCCGTTTCTTCATTCTGTGTGCTTGCAAACAACGCACTCACGTACACCTTTGGCTTTAGTACCTGTAGGTGGTATGTAGCCATGTTTGTGAAGCGTAAGGTAGTCTTGAAAAGATTATAGGAAAAGATCAATTTGTAACATAAGTCTGAAAAAAATCACTTTGTAAGGTAGTCTTGAAAAGATTGTAGGATTGATAGGTAGGATTGAAAAGATCCAGGTATTCTTGAAAACATCTAGGAAAAGCTCAATGACAAAATTGTCTTGGTATCTCATAACTGTCCTGGTATCACTCATATCTTCACCTGTTTAAGTAAATGTGGGTACAACACCAACATCAGAATCATCAAATTGTGGTTTGTGTTACAGAATTATCACAGTCTTCCCTCGCAAATTCACCCGTGCTCTTTGTATTGCCACCACCAACCCTGTCAATAACCACCACCATGGAACCTCCTAACATACTGTTCATCTATGCTACCTGTATCAGATGCATCGTCACTGAATCCAGAAAAGATTCTTCTATAGTATCATCCATAAAAATTGGAGATGACATGGGTGAGCATGGATGGCACTCAGAGCTACAACTGGATACGCTCGCTGTATCGTCCTCATCAGTGATGTATCACTTGTATCCAACCCTTATGTTAGGTCCTTATTGTACCTAGCTTCATCAATATCATGATCCTTCTGTTCTTCAAACAATAAGGTCTGAATTACACCGACAGAGAGCGATATTTCAACACCGCATCCGACAGGGCATTGGGAGCCAGAAGCGCGTGTGCCACCCATGGTTGCTCACTCAAAACTGAGCCAGCAGCCCTAGGGCATTCTGGGAATTTTTGCCAAGGTGGCTGCCTCTCACTGGAGGTCCCAGGAGTCCATTTTATACCCAACCTTCCGTGTGCTCATTCTGATCAAATCTTAAATTCATGTTTTCTCGGCCTGCTCTTTGCCTGCCACAAGTATTGTCGGCCAGCACAGTTTAGTGGTTAATATTAAGGTGCCGTTAGATTAGTTTTGGAAAAGTTGTTCAATGTCAACCAATATTTTTTGACTAGTTGTATATGAAAAGGGCTGCAATTGTTCCAAGTTTCAGTACTGCAGCCTAAATAGAAAGGGAGAAATAAAAATAAAAAATTCAACAAAAATTACACATTTTCAAGTGAGTTCAAACCTTTCACCTTTTCAGATACTGTATAATCATTCTATGACACTTTTCTGACACATTAGCATATAATAAAGGATCTGTAGTTTGGGAGTTTCCAAAA